CCTTGATGCTTCTAACACCATTACATTTATTGACAAAGACATGGAAGCATCGTATCTTGATCATAGAAAGCCTCATTATTTATTGACTCAGATTAACTCTGTCGATGTCAAGCGAGCAATTATCAATACGAGGTCCTTTCTCAATCTGATACCGCTAAGCACCATCATTGCTGTAGGAATTCCCAGTGAAAGATTGTCAGATCTCCTCTCAGCATTGTTGGTTTCGAAAGTGGCAACGAACATGCTCTTGGATATGTCCAGCTCGAATTGAAAGTTAGTCCAATCCTCTCTCAAACTACATTCTATGTTATTGATGTAGAGGTTTCCTATAATATATTACAAAGATGACCATGGCTGCACCGACACCAAATTATTCCCTCCACTTATCATCAGTGTGTTAAAGGCTATCTCAATGGGAAAGTCTTTCGCATCCCACCAACACATTGCCATTTGATCAGACTGAAACCCACTTCATTGAGGCTACTTTCTACAATGGGTTTGCTCCCCCTAACGAAGGAACAATATCTCACCCAGTAGGTACCGCTTTGCCAACATGGAGTGACATTAAAGACAATCCTGACATGGACCTGCAGAGCATCCTTGAGCATAAAAAACAGAGGAAGGAGGCAACAAAAGCTACTCAAGTGTGCCCAAAATGCACCCGAACAATCCTTCCCGATGGGAGGGTTAAACACACTTTATGAAGGTGAGTGGGGCCTTCCCAGCATATGCGAGATAGTCCTATCGCTAGTAGTCCAACCATGCCCTTTGAGTGTTCATTTGTCAGTGAGAAGAAGATGCTTCTATCGATGAGTTGCCATATCTCCCAGAGCAAAATGTTTAACTCTTGAAGCTGGAAACAAAGTACTAGCTGAACACTTAAAATCTTTTGGTGAAGCTAATTACTTGACTCCGCCAAACAAACTGCCAACTCTCCATGAAGCTTAGTATACTTACTTCTCTTGAGTCTCTTGAGGATATTGATATTGGGGACAATCTTTTGAACCCTAGATATGTACAAATCAACACTACCCTCTCTGCTGACGAAGGAGCCAAGATGATCAACTTTGCTTAAGGAGTATAAAGATGTTTTTGCTTGGAACTATGACAAGATGCCGAGGCTTGATCTAGTCTTGCTGGCTCATTCTTTGAATGTTGACCCTGAAGCAAAACCAGTTGTACAGTTGAATTGGGCATTCCATCCCAAAGTCACTATCAAAATTAAAGAAGTTGAAAGCCTCATGGCTGTGGGATTATTAAGTTGACCAAAAGGCCCACTTGGCTGGCCAACATTGTACCAGTGTGGAAGAAAAATGGGCAAATCAAATGCTGCGTTGACTTTCAAGATCTCAACAAAGCATGTCCAAAAGACGAATTCTTCGTACCAAACATGGATGTGCTCATGGATAACAATGTTGGTTGTGAAATGTACTCTTTTATGGATGGTAGTAGCAGATATAATCAGATCAATATGTGCCCCAACAATGTGAAGAAAACTGCTTTTTGCACTCCCATTGGTAACTTTTACTATGTTGTTATGCCTTTCCAACTTAAAAATGCTAGAGCTACTTATCAAAGAATAATGGTGGCCATCTTTCATCATTTCATCCACATTTACATCGAGGTTTATATCGATGATATCATTATAAAATCCAAAATAAGGTGGGGTTACTTCGATGTGCTGAGAAAAGTCTTTGACAGATACCGCTTGTACAAGTTGAAAATGAACCCAACAAAGTGCACATTTAGCATCTCCGGTGGAAAATTTCGAGGCTTTCTTGTAAATAAACATGGCATCAGTGTAAACCCAGCCAAGTCCGAGGCTATTCGAGATGTGCAACCTCTTAAGAATTTCAAGCAACTATGAAGTTTCATTAGCAAAGTCTCTTACATCCATAGGTTTATTCCTTCATTGCAAAAATCTTATCAGTGTTTAACCCCTTGCTAAAAAAGGGAGCAACCTTCATGTGGACAAAAAAGCATCAACATGCTTTCTTACACTTACAAGATCTCATGCTGAGACTACCAACCATATCTATTCCCGCTCAAGGCAGACCACTCAAACTTTATTTATCCACTTTTGACAAGGCTATGGGTGCTCTAGTTGCTCAAGATGACCAAGGTAAGCAACAACCTATGTACTATGTCAGCTAAAATCTCAAAGGTGCTGAATTGAGGTACCTTCTTGTTCAGAAAATGTGTCTCGCCTTGATCTATGTTTCTCAATGCCTTCGGCACTATTTCTTAGCTCACAAGGTGCAACTCATCACCAAGTCTCAGCCTATTCAATATCTCTTAACTCAGCCCATGCTTACTAGCCAGCTTGCCAATTGACTCCTTTAGTTGTCTCAATATGATATTATATGCATAACTCCTACTGCCATTAAGGGTCAAACTGTTGTAGATTTATTGTCTAAATTCTCTGGCTATGTTTAGTATTCTATCTCTGATGAAGTCCCTAGTGGTGAGGTAGCTATGGTGTAGGAACCTAAAGAAAAATGAACATTACACTTTGATGGGTCTTCCACGACAGAATGAGCTAGGGCTGGCTTCATCCTTAGAAATGACAAAGGCCATGATATGGTGTTTTCTTTTAAACTTGATTTCCCTTACATGAACAACACCATTGAGTATGAAGCATATTTAATTGGCCTCATCACGGTTAAGGAGGCAGGTGTACAATGGCTGAAAATTATCGATGATTCAAACCTGATTCTTGGCCCGATCCAAGCCACCTTTGTTGTCCATGAGGAACATCTTGTGCCATACCATTCCCTTAGCCAAAGCTTGTGGCAGTCCTTTGCCAACCTTAGATATGAACAGGTGCCATGGTTAGAAAATACATTGGCGAACGCCTTGGCTACAATCGCCTTAAGGGTGCTCGTGACTACGAACCTCCTCAACATTCAAGTCATCCGCAAGGAGCATCCAATTTACTAATGTTACAAGCCCACTATGCCCGAGTTGCCTGACCGTGCTAATTGGCGATGTGATATTTATGGTGCCTTACTGCAGTGAAGGTTTGACGCACCTCTCAAGGATTTGTCCAACCATATCATCATTTCTTGTGAGTTATATTATCCCCTCCTAAGAGATGTCATGGCTAGGTGTATCAACAATAGAGAGGCATACCATAGACTTAGAGAGGTTCATGATCGAACATGTGGCCAAGACAATAGTGTAAGCCTCTATCGCTGAATTCAACGGGCAAGTTACTATTGGCCGGACATGGCGCGCCAAGCTGTTGAGTTCCAGCAACAATGTATATATTGTCAACAAACATATTATTAAAATGATGAATGTTTCACTGCTGACAACATTCAAGATTAGCGCCATCCTTACATGGAATATTTTGTTGAAGGCATATGGCCAGAATCCCCAAAGGACGTGCACAACCTAAAAAGATCTCTAGCAAAGTTTTCCATGGATGGAGGAATCCTATACCGCATTTGTTTCATTGATGAACCACTCCGCTGCCTATCCTTAGCAAAATCCCAAAAGGTCATAGTTTACATTCATGTACGAGAATGTAGTGAGCATCAAAGACAAAGAAAGTTGTACGAGCAACTCTTGGGTCACGTCTATTACTAGTCAAGTATGAAACAAGACATTGTAGATTTTGTCCAGTGATGTCACACTTGCCAGGTTCATGCCAATCTTATCCCTTCCCATCCTAACTTAATGCAAGATGTGAAGGCTCACTCCTTGGCCTTTTCATACTTGGGGCTTGGATCTTATTGGCCCTGTCCACCCTCCATCCGAGGGTTATATTTAGATTTTGGTGGCAACCGAATATTTCACCAAGTGGGTGGAAGCGATTCCACTCTGCAAGGCTACAGGTCCAATGGTGTCAAGCTTCATCAAGGAGCATATTATTTGGAATTCCATACAAAATCATAAGTGACAATGGAACTCCTTTTGTCAATCAACATGTGCGAAGATTGTTGGATGCTTACAAGATTAAGCATCGAAAATCTACTCCATACTATCCCCAAGGTAATGGCCAAGCTGAAGCAACTAATAAGAGCTTGTTGTGGATGTTGAGTAAGATGGTCCATGAATACGAAGAAGGATGGAGTGTTCATTTGCAAGATACCCTTTGGACTTATCGGACATCCTTAAAAACTAGCACGGGCTTCTTGCCATATTTCCTTGTGTATGGTTGTTATGCTATTCTTCTTGACGAAGTCCTCATCCCTACTGCATGTGTCTTGGTTGCATCAGAATTGGATAGCAACGCTAACATTTGTGGTCAAAGATGGGTCGAAGATTTGGAATCCATTGAAGCACTCCGGCAAATAACATATGGAAAGGCCAAAAAATACCGATCTAAAATGACTAGCATTTACAACCGTGTTGTCAAAGCTAGAGTTTTCACAATTGGGCAGATGGTTCTCAAAGCTTCTGACCATGTAACGAGAAATATCGTTGGCCCATCCAAGTTTGCTGCAAATTGGGATAGCTCTTTTATCATCATGGAAGCACATAACAACAGGTATTATCTCCTCAAAACTCACAAAGGAGAACTGTTATTAGATCCTATGAATGCCAAGTGGCTAAAGCCATACTATTGCTAGGCTTCACCAGCATTACTCTTTGACAAGTAGGCATTCGTCATTTTATAATTTTTACCTACGGCGCAGTCATTCATTCCAACCAAGGAGGATGATCCCGTCCTTCTTTAGACAACATGTGTAAAGTGCACTATACACTCCTTTGTTGTACCTCGGCACATTATGTATCAATTTGCTCATATTTTTATTATGTAAGGATGGGGAGCGTTGTTAAAAAAAAAAAAGGCATATATATCCATACGTGAAGATATATGTGTAGAAAGGAAAAGGTGCAGCACACAAAATAAAGAGATAGCACCATAATGAAATATATATATATATATGGGGTCATGAAATAACTTTCCTAATATGTGTTGTAGCATATATAAGTAGCATGGTTCAAATGCAACAATACACAAGAAAAATGCAAAGAAGATGAAACCAAGCACTGAGGTCTAGACTTTACTGGATAATAAGATGTTCAACCCAAGGCAAGCACAATCAGATGGTTACATCATGGCAATATCACCAACAATCAATACATATTAGAGAAAACAAAATAGGAGGCGAAAAGAAGGTAGTACAAATAGCTACTCATGGCCAAAAACAACCAGGCTCATCACCACAGGTCTTAGCAATCTTGATGCAAGCATGGCAGAGCTGAACGATCTCCCAAGAACCTAGAAGCTCTTTGTCTTGGTTGAGCGATTCCAAGTACACCTTGGTCGATTTCAGCCTCTCCTCCGATTTAAGGACGAACTCCTTCATCTCGGCCAGGGACTTCTCCATCTCTTTAACGTGCTTTGCCTGTTCCTCAATCCCTCTATCCAAGTTATGGGCCATGTCACCCCCAACCATGCCAAACTCGCCCTTGTCAAGGAATGCCTTTGCCAAGTCTAATAGATGTGCTCGAATAGTGCCAACTTCGAAGTTTATATTCTCAGCATCATCAATGACATCCTTGCATAAGTAGGAGTCTTCATTCATTTTGACAAAGGGAGTTACCTCCATATGTCGTTAGAGGTTTGAGAAGGCATCTTCTATCATCATTTTCTTAGCCTTGCTGTTTGCCGTCAGATTTGGGAGCGTCTCCAGAAGGTGGCATGCCCATGTCTCTAGCATCATATGCACCTTAACCTTGCCCACTGACCAAGCATCTCTAGTGGGCACCAAGCCAAATCGAGTCAAGGACATCTCCCTATCCTTGTCCATCTCATTTAAGTTCTAGAGTAACCTCACAATGAAGTCATCCACCTCGCTTGACTTGGTTGAAGCCGAAGGAGATTGGCCACCATGTGCAGCTTTGTTGGGATTGACGGTCTTCTCTACTATGCTCGGGACTTGTTCATCAACAGCCATCTTACCCCACTAGAGACAGGCTTTTTCATAGCGTCTCCCACATCTAATTCAAGCTCATTTGATGCAGCCTTGTTTATATCAATGCTATCATGGGGACCCTTATCCTCGTTTCTTTGCTCCAAACCATTCTTGCTTATGGATGACGTGTCACTGTTGTTAGATTTGCTTTTACTGTTCTCATTGGAATCAAAGCTAATCTCTTCGACAGTTGCTTTTCTCTTCCCTTCACTAGCAACAGCCCCAACTTTGGCCTTCCCTTTTTCAACATCAAGCAAAGTAGATAAATGAGTAACTATGTTGTTCAATGGAGTAAAACACTAAATATGAGTCACTTCGCCCACACTTCGCCCACACTTCGCCCACACTTCGCAATACCTTTTCTAGCGATGGCGACGTCAACGCTCTTCTTGGTCGAGGACCCTCACTGGGCCAACTCATAGTCACCAGTGCTAAATGGAGGAAGCTTACTAATCGAGCATGCCTATATGCGAAGAAAAAGGAAAAGAAACAAACAAGTTAGAAACATGACTTTGACAGCCGTTGTGAAGTCTTTCAACTTCTAGTGAGGGCGAAGAGATTCTCACCTTCAATATGGTCACTTTTGGATGAGCTTTGGCTACCTCAGGTCTCTTCACCACATTAGGAGTACCATAGGAAACCTTCACACCTCGTTTTGCTTATTAAAAATACAAAAAGGAGCTTAACACTGCTTGCTCCGATGTTTTCAAAGATGTGAGTTTCCAAATCACAAAGGTTGTGTACAGATGCGCACGACTTATCCTGGTTAGTTTACAGGGAGGAACAGAGCTAGCCTTAGCCTTCTTCGCCAATTCAGCTGCGAAAGACGCATAATCACTCCAATTAATGATGGAATTGACAAGGCTAAGTATATAGTCAAGAAGTGGAGGCTCACCTATCTCTTTAGCTAAGATTTTTTGATGAACTACAAGATTCGCTAAAGCCTCCTCCATATTCACCTTCAGAGCTTCTACCTCCTTGGCTTCTTCTGACTTGGATGAAGCATCTTCACCGTCAAGAACAGGGATAAGGTTGAAGCCATCCTTGGAAGCTATTGATTGCTCGTACAGATATCAACCCAAGAATTGGAAAACCCTGAGTGAGGTAAAAAAAACTATTAAGGATTGGTAGTGTGAAGACAAAATTCAGTGACACATATACCTTGAGTGAGGAACTTGAGTCATAATGTTTCTCACCCTAGTGCTTGCTACTTGAGGCAAGCTTCGATTTCTTAGCCTGTTCAATTGTCTATGAAATTGAACCTGTCCAAGAGCTACCATGATCATTGAGAAAGCCATCAATTTCTAGAACCACTTGGCCCTTTACCTTCCACTTCCCAATCCAAGAGTAGGCCAATGGAGTTGTTCCACTACTGTAACCATACTTCGCCATCGGATATTCTTTCAAAACCTTACCGCTAGTGACACGACCAAGATAATATGGATAGAATCTCTCCCACACAAACATTTGCAGCAAAAACAAGCATGCATATGTCTCAATAATATAGTATACAAGACCAAGAATTTCATCAGCATGAAGCAGCTCAAGCATGTGATAGAGCAAACCTAGCATCACTGACGCCAAAGGGAGCTTTACACCTTTAGCCAAGCGGATGGCCAACAAGATACACTTAGCCATGATTTCATGGTTCAGGAAACCTTTGAAAATGAAATTGCTTAGCCAAGTTGTAAGGAAGGCTACACACACGTACAAGCTATCCTTACCTTCGCTAATCCAAAAATACAGCATCCACATTGGAAAGTCAATGCTATAATCACCTCTCCATGATCGAGAAGAAGCGATCATGTTCTTCCTCATCAGCCTCCTCAAAGCAATTTTAGTGGAGTGCTCATCTGACGTTAACATTATGTAGCATGGGTCCTTTTCCCCAATGATGGTTAAGAACATCATGTTCATCACATCCTCCAATGTCACAGTGACCTCCCTGAAAGCCAAAATAAAGGAGTGAGTGCTCGTCCACCATCTCCTCGCCAAGCAGCGAAAACACTCAAAATCACTGCTGATCTATAGGTTCTAACTCAAAGCTATGGATTTGAGTATCCCGGCGACCCGCAGCATCTCCACAAAGCCATTCTCAGCCAACATGTCTTTGGCCCATCCCATCCAATCCTCCATCTTGCTTGAAAGGAAAGCAAAGTGAATTGGCACTAGCAATAAGTCTCAATTCGCCAACCTCGCTCACATCACATCTTTAGGTGAAGGAAACCATCCAACCTCAACTTCACCACCCCTAAAGACTCCCAATAGAACCAAGTCCTTTTGTTTCTCTGATGCCTTTTTTGCAGACCAAGTGTTGAACTTCAAGAACCCATCTCAAAAAATGTACCATGGATCATGGTAAGGCTATACCCCATCAACTGGAAAAAGGTCAGCCATCCTCAAACCTTTCCGCATGCAAAGAAAAACAAAGAAAAAGGGGAGGTGAACAAAAATTTAAAAAAAAAAAAAAAAGGAAAGGGTCAAAGAAAATCAGGAAACCCACAACAGTGTACACAAAAAAAAAAAAAAAGGATGAGGAGATCTAAAAGCTTTTATCATCAATCAACACACGAGCGTGCTTCCTAAGTGGAACCCAATCACAACCCCCACAAGACCCACAAATTTTTATGAGGAATTGATGAAGATTGGCAGTGTAAAAAGAAGGAAGTTCAACAATCTTCTAGAAGGAAAGAAAGATTTAGAGGATTTTTGACAAAAGGTTGAAGGAGACAAAGTGGGAATTAAAAATTTGCCTTTAATGCCTCAACCAACCACCACCGCCATTTGTCGCGCATCAACATGGCTGAGCATTATTTGAGGGGCAATAAGTAAGGTGCATGGCGTTATTCTGCAAGTACCTACATCGAATCCCCTTTAAAATCTCCCCTTTTTATGTGGTCATGATGGAGGAACACCTTCTAGAGATTTTAGTTTATATTTTAAAAAGAGGAAGTTATCTTTTCTTCAACTATAGAAAACCATATGAAAAGCAGTTCTACTCTCCCATTAGATTCAGACTACATGTGAATAGGGCAAAAAACATTTCCTCAAAATGGCTACCTAGGGTTTATTATTATTTTTTCTTCAAGTAACAATAGTGTGACCTTTACTGGAACTTTGGCAAAGACACAACTTGAAATATGTTTGTCAGCCTTATATCTACATTGACAAGGACTATCATCTGGATCGTTACGCTTAACAATGTTAAATTTTTTTTTCGGTTAAAGCTTCACTTTGGTCATATTCAACCTCATCTTTGTTAAGGCCCCATTGATCCCCTTTGCTAGAAATGTGAATTGAGTAAGTTTCATCATGCTCACGCCGAGATTTCACCTATGACACTAGGCCTCTTGATGGAAGTTCTGTTTTGGCTATGCCTAGCCTTATCCTCACTAAAGCTTTGCTAGTGACATCAGACACCTCTGCTAAAATCACAACCCTATTCGTCAGTGTTTGTCGAGCCATGGTGGAGTTACTTACATTTGCTATCACCTACCTTGTATGGTTAGGTACGTTCCAATCTTGTCTCTATTGAAGTCTTTTCAATGTCATAAACAAATTTGCTTGGCGAAACCCAATAAGTGCCGCATCTTTTATATCACTCCTACTTTGACGAGATGGTTGCCTCCCTCAATGCCAAACGGCCAAACTTACTGTCACAACTTCTCCCACTTGGGGGGCTAATGTTAAAGGATGAATTTGTATAGTTTTGGAATTGGCAACATATGCAGCGTTATGTCAGCAAGATCGGCTTTGGACTCGTGACCAAAGAAGGTTCACGTGATTCATCTCTACGTCAAATATGCTATATCATACTTTTTTGCTGATAGCTGCAACAGAGTCAACATTGTCATAAGTGGTATTCAACATTACTTCTCCTATACATCACCAAAAGTGACATCTTCTAGAAATGATACAAGCATATTCTGCTTTGGTGACATTCTCTTACACATGGCCAGACACGGCTACGTTTGCTCCCATGACATGGCCGAACATTGTTTACAATCATGTCATCTACAATGATGTGTACTACTACATCTTTCTAACTCCCAACAATGGATAAAGAGCCTATTTTGCTACATCTACATGGTTCAAGTCAACGAACAATGGGTTGATCTTGTTACATCTACACAGCTCTGAAGAATAAACAAAGGGCCAAATTTGTCATCTCATTTAACCTTCAATGATAGGCAAAAGGCTACATACTCCCACACATCTTCATTGCATTGACTTCTAGAAATGAACAAAGTGTCAGAATCTCTACATGTTCTATCTCATTAGCTCCCAAAAACAGATAAAGAGTCAACACAACTCAATATGATTAGTGTGAGACCAATAATAGTTGCAACCCTGCAATTGGTTGGGATGGCTACCCTCTAACGATGAAAATCCAGCAAGTTGCAGTTGGCGATCCCTTAGTGGTCGTCCGTCCTTGGTGGTGTGGTGCCTAGCTAGCAATAACAGCCAAGATCACCCTCTAACTGTGTAGGTACGATAAGAAAAGCCAACGTTTGTCAATCGTATCATACCTTGTCACATCAAAGGCCATGGATACAACTAGTGTCCCCCCTTCCACGGAGACAACTCCATCCATCTTTATCATACATTTATCACTATGGCAGAGTCTTGGGTTAATAAGACCTACCCCCTCTTTGCGACTTTGTTGATTAGCAAGAATGCTCTTCTAATTCCACATAATTCATGCTCCATCCATGGGCAAAGTTAGCTACTATTATCCTTCTAGCTATGGGAAGCTATCCATGGCTAACCCTACAATACCTACACAACATGGCCAACAATCATGAACATCATTATTCTGTCATATAAAGGGACAATTACTCGTCACCAGTAATCCCGATCTATAATGCGTTCCTTCTATATTTTTACATGCTCGCAAGTATCACTGACCAACAATATTTGTTCAAGATAACGATATCGCAATGCACATCCATACCATCACTTTTTATTTTGGCGTAGCGCCAAGCATACACAGCAGCATTATTCAAATGTTCGCCATGGCCAGCAAATAAAGAGGCACAACGATGTCCACCCTCATTATTCCCTTCAATACACAAGGGAGTAGCCTTCTTCACTGCACATATCTATGCATCTCACATTTAATTATTTGAATAAACATTCACTCTTATCTTGTTCTTGTTGCAGATGAGTACAAGCCCATGAATCCAAGCTCATGAGAGTTACTCAGGATAAACTATGGGAGTAATGGCTTGGCAGGCATAGATGGATGGACGTTGCCCACCTAGCAAAGTGAGATATCTACGTCAGCCAAGCTTGGATGGCTAGCAATGCTACCTAACTTCGTCAGGAAGGGCTAGGTGGCGAAAACATGGAGGCTAAGCTTGATCCTTAAAACCGTGCATTTGATGTTAATAAGAAGACTTAAAATCCCATTAAAAATCAACCAAGGGTGCTATATTTTAGTCTTTATCAACAAGTTGTAGTTATATTTAATGTAAAGGTGGTTGCACAAGTTATACTGCTTGGGAAACTATTGAAAAGATTACACCTACTGGGAAAATCCCCAAAATCCAAGGCAGATCCACTTTTCTACCAGCTGTACTCAAAACCCACACAAAAATGGTGGTTCGTATGGCTGGACAAATTACCAAAAATGAGCAACCTTTAGCAAGTTAGCTGGACTTCATTAGGACTAGCAGTACTTCACTAGAACCATCAGTTCTTTGTTGGAATCATTGGATAATTTATGACATCATTTCAAAAAGCTATCTACAGCATCTAAAACCAATCAAAACTAGACAACTGTCTTCACCCAACCCAAATCTGTTCAATTAGGCCACTTTACACATCTAACTCATCAACCAAAAACCACAAAAATGCGATTGCATACATAAATATTGATTTCTCCCCCATTTTTCAGCAGACGTGAATAGACTAGACCAATCTACCTTCCATCTCCCACTTTCCATGTCCCAAAAACTCCATTTTTCTACTTTGGAAAAACTATTCATCTTCAACCTCTTACCCTATACACCGAAAATCCCCAAAGATCTCTATTTTTCTCAAATTTCCTACATTTCTAGGCCTATAAAAAAAAATTACTCCAGCCTTATAAGATCTCATGGCCTGAAGACAACATATTATAGTTTCAAACTTTAGGTTATCTTCTTAAGCATCAAACGATGAAGTTGGAGAGTTAGCATCAAGAACAAGATCAAGTCCTCCATTTTTAAGCCCCACAATGACCATCCTTTCTTCTCCCATCACTACTTTCAAGCTTATCCCCTTTTGTAGTTGATAAAGGGTAAAGAATGAAGTCATCTTGTTTTTCATCCTTAACATGAGGGTATCTTATTATAGAGTGAGGGTTTTTGTTTAGGATAGTAGAGGACATGTTTATTGTCACTACTACAACATTGCAATGTATCATATGTAAACACATCTCTCAAGTTGTAATATTTGATAAATGCATGTATATCTATGCATACTATCTATGCTACCCTCATTGTAATGAATGCTCCATTTTCGTTGCATTTTGGAAGTTGTGTAGTCATCATCAGGTTCTAGGAATCCTCATCATCGCTGTCTAGGTTTTATAAATTGGCTGTAGAATACTCGTTACCAAACTTCACTAGAGAAACTACTATCAACTATCTTCGCTGGACAGCACGAGACGGCCCGTGGCACATAGCTTCCTACACATGAAACGGGTGCTAGCTAAAAGGAACCTCCTTATTCAATGTAGGTGGCACCCTTGTCAGCCTCCACGTCACCCTCGCAATTGACCCATCCATGTCCATGTCATCTACACCTCAACACTCGCTTAAGGTATGTGCATCGCTGGCTCTGTCTTCATATCATAAGTTTTTAACCATTGTTGACCTCACTAAGGTCTTTCCAATACTTAGGTTGGTATCCGCATGAGCAATCAATGACTTCAAGTGAGGGCTTTGGGCCCATCCTCGTTCCTAGTAATGAAAGAGCTTCATCCAAGTTTGAGGAAGCCAAGGAGGTGGAAGCTTTGGCAATGAATATGGAGGAGGCTCTGGCAAACCTTGCAATTCGTTGAAAAATCCTAGCCAAAGAGATAGGTGAGCCTCCGCTTTACAATGATTTACTTAGCTTTGTCAATACTATCATTGATTGGAGCGATCATGCATCCTTTGTAGCCGAGTCGACAAAGAAAGCTAAGGCCAGATCGGCTCCTCCACGAAAACCCACCATGGTAAGTCATGTGCATTTGCACATAGCCTTTGTAATTGAAGACTTGTATCTTGGCAAATATTGGACCACGCTGTGCTTACACTGTTATCTTGGCCACACGTTCGATCATGAACCTCTCTAAGTCTACGGTAAGCCTCTTTATTGCTGACGCACCTAGCCATGACACCACTAGGGAAGCAATGATATATGATGTCTCGCCTCAAAATTAATACCCTTCGGCTAAGCGGTTGTTGTAGCGTAGCATTAGGTGTCGAATCCACAGGGAAGCTATATTAAATCAATAAAAAGAGTTGTCACAATGAGAAATTAAATTAAAAAATGAATTCTAAAATTAAGAATAAAAATATTTAAATAAAAGATAATAATTGTAAAAGAAAAAAAACAATATTATGATGAACAAGACTTCAGGGTTCACTTAATTGATTTGTTTAACTGTTATAAATTTTGATTCCTATTTATTACTCAATTGCATGTTTCACATCCCAAACAAACAATCGGAAGATTCAACTTTGAAAACAAATAATAATGACTAATGTATTTATTTTGAGAAAAATTAATTTCAATGAAGAACAAACTGATCTATTCTTACGAGCTATCCGAGAGCGACAATATATCTAATCGACAATACTGCAGTAAAGGATCAACCCGCAAAACAAATCTACCAATCAATTATATTCTAACAAATTACACATAAAAGGAGCATGACTAATCTTATATGAAATTTGATAAATATAATTTTCAGGGTTTTCAGATCTGAAAATAATTAACAATCTCTCGAAAATAATTAACAATCTCTCAAAAATAAAATTAAACAATAAAAT